GGGACAGACATGCTGTCCACATATAAAACTCCTAATTTGTCATGTTAGCGGCCTCAAGCACATCACTTGCAACCCCACTACGTTGCAAAAACCATATTTGCTTCATATTTGAGACTTTCTGGAATTCCCGATGTTGCTCGATCCATCAACATCAATCACTTTCAAGTGGTGACCTTTGGACATACAGAGCGACCAAATTTTCCACACGGCGCTTTGAATGCAGAGTGACGTTTAAGGATACCTCAATAATATTTTTTAAAAATATTTTTTTTATAAATCAAGATAAATTGTTTAACATATTTACTTTATATATTGTAAAAATATTTTTAAAATTATAGTTTGAATCTTATCCAAACACTCCTGAATCATCTTCCCCACAGCTTTTGTACCAGAAAATTTAAGCACGTAACCTTTTCCGAGCCCTATTTTGTTCCTCACATTGCCTTTTTTTTTCCCGCCTGAATTCCTCACGTTACTTGTTACTGTACACCGCTTAGCAGGCTTCTCGTCTTGAAATATGCGCATTTTTTGTTGACCCAAAAAGAAAAAGAAATTGTGAATTTGCTATTTCTCACCAAATGCTATTATCAGCATCTTATCTTCCAACCCAAGCCACATAAGTTTCTCCGTTCACTCTTCAGTATCTTTCTCGTCTCGTCATTTGTTCACTGATTGAAATGGAAGCATCGAAGACCACAATAGCAATCATCGTTCCGGTAGCGATTCTAGTTCTGGCATGGGCGTGGAAGGTGGTGAATTGGCTGTGGCTGAGGCCGAAGAAGCTAGAGAGGCTTCTCAGACAGCAAGGTCTTCATGGCACTCCATATACGCTTCTTACTGGGGATATAACCAAAATGCTCAACATGCGAAAGCAAGCCAAATCCAGACCCATGAATCTTTCCCACGACATCATTCCACGTGCTTCCCCCTTTGTCAATCAAATTGTCGACAAATACGGTATGCCTTTTTATTGCTTATGCTTCTCCCACTCCTGTCAGTCATAGTTCAGGCATAAATTTTGTTCAAAACAGTGCAATGTTTGGTTTTGTAAGCCTCTGCTGTCTATTGAATATTGATTTCTTATGGGTAATTATTTTCTTTCTACCTTTTGTTCTGGAACATCCTTGTTTAGATGCTCCTAAAGGGTGCTAAATTTTATGCGAGATAGGTTTGAAATGGTTTTGCAGGTGAAACCTATTTGCTTCCATTGTTTTTATCAGTATCTTGTTTATTCCTTCTTTAAGTGATGATGCACATACATGTAGGAAAGAACCCTTACACGTGGATTGGACCAGTACCAAGGATAATTATTACTGATCCAGTGCTAATCAAAGATGTAACGAACAAGATCTATGACTTCACCAACCTATGATAATCCACTCGTGAAGTTGCTAGCCACTGGTCTTGCCAGCTATGAGGGTGAGAAGTGGGCTAAGCACAGAAGGATTATCAATCCTGCATTCAATGTAGAAAAACTGAAGGTTACTTCACTTTTCCTTTAGTGGCTTGAGTTTTCTTTACTTTTCACTCTTTTAATAAGCTCTTAAACATATACTTTGTAGACACCATCTCTTTTCTGTATAAGCAAATAAGCATCTGCTCTTGCTTTGGAAGTTCATTTGCTTAGTTTTAGGTTTAAAATTTAATCTGCCCATCGCATTATTCTGCTACAGGTTATGCTGCCTACATTTTATGAAAGCTTCGATGATATGGTTTACCAGTGGGAGAAAATGTTGTCCTCAGATGGCTCATGTGAAATCGATGTATGGCCTTTTCTTCAGAATGCGACATGTGATGTTATATCTCGATCGGCTTTTGGAAGTAGCTATGAAGAAGGAAAAAGAATATTTGAACTTCTAAAGGAGCAAGCTGAACTTACAATGAAAGTTTTCTTCAAAGGTTTTATTCCCGGATATAGGTAAGAATAGACGGTAGAAATGATGTGCATTTCCATTATTCAATCCAAGCATGTTTACTTGTGTATCATATGGGAAACAGCAAATTATCAATGTATACAATTGAGATCTAAAAGCACTTTTACTCTAAATAATTCCGAATTTATCGAATAATATGATTGGAACATGTAGTTCACAGAACATCACTCTTACAAGTTGTTCCTTCTTGTTACCATAATTACCGGGACTCTTTTTTAATCTGTAGGTTTCTACCTACCAGTCTTAAGAAGAGGATGACCAAAAATGACAGGGATATAAGAGCTTCACTTAAGGATATAATCAGCAAAAGAGAGAAAGCAATGGAGGCAGAGGAAGCCCCTAAGGATGATCTGTTAGGCGTACTTTTGGATTCAAATCGCAAGGAAATTAAAGAACATGGAAATAGCAAGGATGATGGTATGACTACTCAAGATGTAATTGAGGAGTGCAAACTTTTCTACTTTGCAGGGCAAGAAACCACATCTGTTCTGCTCGTTTGGACCATGGTGTTGCTCAGTACGTACCCTGATTGGCAAAAGCGTGCGAGGGAGGAAGTCTTGCAAGTATTTGGCAACCAAAAACCAGACTTTGATGGGCTAAATCGCCTCAAGATTGTAAGTACTTGTATAGTTCCCTTAACAAATAGTAAGGTCCATTACATTTGTGATCCTTCGTTGCAAAACGGTGTCTGGGATCTGATTCCCCCGTGTTTTAATTTCTGTTTGTATTCTCATAGTAGTTTGTTTTGCTACAGGTGACCATGATTTTGTACGAGGTCTTGAGGCTTTACCCACCAGTAATTATGCTTGGTAGAGCTGTTCCTAGGAATATGAAACTTGGACACTTGACAATACCAAAAGGAGTGCGTCTTGCCTTACCTATAGGTTTGATTCACCATGACAGTGAATTGTGGGGTGATGATGCAAAGGAATTCAAGCCAGAAAGGTTTTCAGAAGGAGTTCTGAAGGCAACAAAAGGGCAAGTTTCATTCTTTCCGTTTGGATGGGGTCCAAGAATATGCATTGGGCAAAACTTTGCCATGCTGGAAGCAAAGATGGCTGTGTCTATGATTCTACAACGTTTCTGGTTTGAGCTTTCCCCTACATATGCTCATGCTCCAACGGATGAGATTACTCTTAAGCCCCAGCATGGTGCTCAAATTATTTTACATAAGCTATGAGTGTTTCACTGCTGGAAAGCGTATATGCATGCATGGACAGATTGAATGATATTTATATAGGCATAGATAGTATTTGCTTGGGCAAGGCCTCAACTGAGTTCGTATTTTGTGTATACATTTTACACAGCTGAATTGACTTGCTTCTATAAGTACGTGTATAAATCCTGAACTACGGCAAGGCCTCATATGATCCACCATTTTCCATATATAACATAACACGAAGCTTGGTTGGTGATAATGAGGAACTTCATTTTGACCACAAAAAAAAAAAAAGGAGGAAGAAGAATGAGGAACTTCAACAAGATACAGATGGCTTGAGTTACTATTATTGCTGAATATATCAATTCTTAGCTTACAGTGGGCAGCATAAAATTCAATGGGATTAGGGATACTCACTGGATTATAACCTTGCCACCTATAATGGCTACCAAGATATCCTCTTCAACATTCATTTACACTTTCTAACTTGGAAAATCCTCCGCACAATGATATCACACACACGATCAAACAACTCTCCCTTCGTTGCATTAAACATGCAATGGAGGCACCAAAACATAATCTTCCATCACCCCCCGGGGGGGAGTCTTTTCCCCATGGACAAAAGGATGTGCTTCTAGCGCACGAATTTGATTTTCTATTTCCGAGGAAGTTGGCTTCTCTTTGCACGAAATTAAAAAAGATGGCCAACAAAAATTCTGACCATTTTCACTTGAATGTGATAGCATGTGATATATTAGCGGGTCCTCTCGGCATTTTTTGGGTAAATTTTATGGTTTTTTAAGATGATCCAAGTCGACAAACTGCTTTAAGCCAGAATTTGGGGAATATACTTGGAACTTCTGACATTGGGTCGAATTAACCCAAAAAATAAGAATAGATTCAGAAATGAGAAAACTTATGTCATGAAGACATGATATTTAGGACAGTTCCCTGAATTAAAACATGAAAGAGAACATGTAAAACCTTGAGGCTGCCCCAAAATCAGATATTGGCCGGGTGAAATTGAGCCCTCACACACTGGTATTGTGCAGCTGAGAACCCATTGGAACGGCCGAAGAGAAGTTTATAAAAGCTGAATCACAGGAAAAAATGAGAAAAGGAGTAGAAGAAAAGAATGTACAGAACCTTTCTATCATTGCAACGCAGAAACTAAGGATTCAGATTGCAAAGACGAAGGAATTAGGTTTTCTTTATGCCCGCAACGGAACTCAGACGCCATTGCAGAGCTGAGTCGCCCGGTTCTCTCAAAGGCACATGCTAACGCTTACTAGGGTTTCCGCGCTTATTATAGAGTGGGAGGTCAGTGTTAAATGTCTATTTTGCCCTCCTTTCCTCAATCCTCAATAAAATTTATCAATCATTTTTTCCCCATCCTGGGGTTTTGGCGTCAATGGTGGAGATGAACTGATGAAGGTCCGTGCAATCCGCAGAGTATATACTTTGCCCGCTAACATTTCATTTTAATCATTCATTTATTTACCTTTTTCCCAAAAAAAAAAATAGAAAGCCCAATATAAAACACAATTATCATAAAAATAATTTATATTCTTATTAAATAAAAACTAAGTAAAAGTTAATAATTAGGTAAAATTAAAGGTTACTTTCTTTTTTTTGGTCAAAATTAAGGGATAGGTGAACGCATATTTGAATAAGATATATGACAACCTATCGACAGTATTCTCTTTCGGCCCTACTCTTTAGACCTAAAAATCCTCAAGCCATAGTGAAAGTATTGAATTCCTTCAACTAGATCCCACTCCTATTAGTTTATTTAGTAATTAGCAATAGTAATGGATTATGAGCTTAGCTGATCCGGGTCAGTTGCACACGGAGATAAAAATATTACAAAGAAAATATATATGCATGTTGTGACTGAGATGTGCAACTAAAAATGAACGAGTTTAGAGGTTGAAACATATTGTCAAAGTAAACTCATCCTTTACAAATTACAAAATTGCAAATATTCTATGCTAACAGCCATTTCAGTGTATCAATACCAGATGACACATTAATGTTTATGTGCGTAATTTTGACTGGGTCCAACGGAAACAAATGAAGCTTACACTCTAAAAGGAACATTAATGGTTATAACGCAAGGTATTGATTCAGCAGTTCAGCATAAAATTGTTCGTTAGTTCGTTCTCCAAGTTTAGTTGCAAGACTCCAAAACATGCAACCACTGCTGCCAACAGAAAGGCAGGCTCCACTCCTTCATGTGTTCCCCCCTGTTCAATTTCCGTTTCCAAATGCAGTCACTGAATCAACACCCAAGCTCTGTTAGAATATTGCAGAGCAAGAGTTTAGCTACTAACCTGCACAAATGTCAATGCATCCACTTTGTATGAGAAATTCTTAGCTAGACCCGATCCCTTAACAAGTACAAATAACAGAAATAATGAATAGACATAAGCGTAACAAACTTGCTTTTCAAAAAAGCAAGTCTCGGATATATGTCATTCATGACTGGTTTAGAATTTCTCGCTTCCTGTTGCATCCAAAGAATGTTAAAACACAAGAATAGATGACAAAGAAATAGTTGCAACCGTCATCTTTGTACAAGCTGGCTGGTTAAAGTGGAGGAAAGCTACCGGAGTTATTTGTGATAAGAAGGTACTTGAGAAACTTAAAGGAAAATTTTATCGGACTGCTATAAGACCAGCTATGATGTATGGTAGTGAATGTTGGGCAATAAAGGGAAAACAAGAGCACAAAGTCAGAGTAGCAGAAATGAGGATGTTGAGATGGATGTGTGGTCATACAAGAAAAGATAGGATTCGAAATGAAAAGATCAGGACAAGAGTTGGTGTGGCACCTATCCAAGAGAAAATGGTTGAAAATCGATTAAGATGGTTTGGACATGTGCAGAGAAGGCATTTGGAGGCCCCGGTAAGGAGGGTGGATCAAACAAGATGGAGTCCCATAAAAAGAGACAGGAGAAGATCGAGAAGAACGTTGAATGAGGTCATTGAAAGAGACCTCCTAGTCAATAACATATCTAAGGATTGGGTTGTTGACAGAGTACGATGGCGTCGTGTGATTCATGTAGCCGACCCCACCTAGTGGGATAAGGCTTGTTGTTGTTGTTGTTGTTGTCATCTTTGTACGGTACATCATTATCAACCAATCCATGCAGAGCTAGTCCTGTTATGAAGTGGCAGAAGGAGATGGCATTTGATTGGCAGGAAGAAACCGTGAGAATGGCATTGACATGGCACATAGAAGGATGTTGAAATTTTCAGATAGTAATTCTTTACATATTGCATGGTAAAAGATAATCAAGTATCCTAGATTGAAGGCTTGCGCCTTCATGACAGCCAAGAGATGTTTTAGTCTGTTGTCAAGCAAGTTCTCTTAAATTAACCTTTTTCTACATAAAATATTTATTTTGCATTGCCTATTTCCAGTCATCATTGATGTGCTCATAAAAGCAGTTCCAAAAATCCAATTTTTTTAACACGGTTCTTTCCCTGAGTTACAATTTTTTCAATATGGTTTTTCTACATAAAATACGTCAATTTTAGTCTAAGAGACTAAGATTTATCCCAAGATATCTAAAAACCAATTCCCCTTCATCAATGCAGCATCATCAGGATCATCACGAGGCAATCCTTCGATTCCTCTTCATATTTCTCTGTTTTTTTGGCCAAAAAAATTCCCCTTCATGTTTCAAAGTTTATATTATCAACCATATCAAAAGGATGAAGGAAGGATGCCATTACTCTCTATTCATGTTCTTGCTAAGGTTAACGAATACTAAATCATTAAATATTGATTGTCTTCATCCAAGGATGGATCAAGTGAATCTCGAGCAGAAGCGATAGCAAAATCATTTAAATTTTAACAGCTGTCAATCCACTTATATTTTGTGCTTATAGCATGTGATACAACTGCACAACATTAGCTCTTATGGGAAAGCTTCAGCAAAGCTATGAGTTGCACAGTCACACATGTGGCATAGTGCCCAACAGCCATAACATTGAGCTGCAAGCTATAGAGAAAACTAATGCAATATTAATAACTATGGTTGAGGATTTAATGCATATCTAGACCAAGATTAATGTTTGACTCAGAAGACAAACGTAGACAATCCAAGTACAGAGAATTGAACGTACAATTCCTTATTATCTTCAACACATTTAATAATCCAGCGGTCCAAAACTATGAGGTGGCCAAACCTGATAACACCATAGAAGTATTGAAAAAAATGATTAGCGTAAGATTCATGCCCCTGCAGAAAAAAACGAAGTTAACGCTGCACATGTCAAGTAGTTAACCAACATGCAAGCAGCCTATGAGAAGAAATTATAAGAGTAATACAAACAACTTTTTTCTGAAGTCAAAAAATACTAATATTTGACTCCTAAATCCACAAGAAGTGACTGGAATCACTAGAACAATCTCAGTATTGAAATATAGTGAAATATAGTGCACGAACATGATAGTATTATCAAAAAGCCTACTTTACTTCTTAACGAATGTGAACATGCTAAGCTAAAGCCCCTTTGGAAACTCAGAAGTCAAGACAAGGGAGAGAAATATTATAAACCAAACCCTCAAAAATAGAACAATATAGCATGAAACACATCACTTACCCTAAAAAACACTCTTCCTTCTATAAGACCATATGGAATAGGACCAAAATGCCGTGAATCACGGGAGGCATAGATGTTATCCCCCTGAATCCAAACATGCCCCACTGGCACCTGAGAAGTAAACATCATAAAATAAGGGCGGAAATAAAAAGCACCAACAGGAAGAAACTAACAATTTTCTTGGTTACTAAAGCAAACAACTTTTAATACAGGAGATCATGGCAGCAAAACAAGCAACCTTTAAATTCTAAATTCAAGAAGAGTGGGAGAGGAATAGCAAAGGTTCAAAACGAATTGATTTGTGATAACAGTCTGCTTGATTCAGTAAAGAAGAGCAAAGTAACAATGGAATCCAATAGAGATTACACAAGGATAAAATTTGCTAGCAGGATACTCTCAATGAAAGAAACCAACCAATTTGGTCAGAGACGCTTGTAAACACTATTTTCGTCTGAACACTGAGCCTAGTAAAATTAACACTACCAATCAACATAAGCCAATAATTGAGCAAATACAACAGAGCAAGCTATCAAGTAGGAACAATTCACAATCATCAGCCAAAAAATTTTCAGGGCACACGGCTTCATATATATATATATATATATATATTAGACACACACACACAGAGAATAAGTTCCCAACAAAAACAGAAAAAGGTGGAGGAAGTAAACTGCAAAGCACACCCACCACAGCATTTAGAGGCAAATCACCATGCCTGGGATCGAAGTAAGTGATCCTATCCCCTTCCAAGCCCACAATGCGCTTGGTCAAAGTCCGATTGGGGTTTAAGGGAGAGCGAATGAGCACCAAATCTCCAGGCCCAAGCTTCCCCAGTCGAGGAGACACATGCTCGGCGAGAATCACGTCTCCAGTGAGATTCATCGTGGGGAGCATACTAGGCCCGTGCACCTGCACCGACCGAATACCGCAATTGAATCAACTGGGCAAAGTAAAAGACATAATCTGACAAGAGAAAAAAGAAAAAGGGCAAACATATTGAGGGAGTCTACGTGACTAGGGGAGCAAAGATAGTTGTCGGTAACGTGGAGGAGGCAGAGGAACTTCACTGTAATCGCTGTGCGATCAACCACTTCCTTCATAATGCCTCTCCATTGTGCAATATAACTCAGCAGCCCCATCTCTCGTTGTGGCCGCCGAGCTTCGATATCAATATCTAAACCTGCAACTCGGACCACTCACAAAACCGAAACTACTGCCTCCAATAGCAAATTCGCCATAGGTTAGCGGCAATCCGGATCCGCTGCTCCTTCCGCCGTTACCAGCGTGAGAAGGGTGTGATTGCGTAAACTTTCTCCGTCAAGAATGAGATGAAGCGCGCCACTATCCTGAATTTGTTGTACTACACAGTGACATAACGATTTTCCCCTCTTTATGTCGTAACTTTTCTTTTTTCTTTTTTCTTTTTTCTTTGTCATCTAACTCGGCACAATTCAGTTTATTCATACGAAAATGACGTTTTGGAATTATATAAAATTTGGGAAAACAAATTAATTACTAAAAAAGTTAGTAGCATATAAACTATTAATCTTTTGGCAAGAATAAATATAAGCTTTTAATAACATGGAAAATTTTTTTTAAAAAAACGTGATAATAATCAAACTTTCTATAAGTACTAAAAAAATTAAAAACTAAATTTAATTTTAAATAACCTCACTATGATATAAGCATAATATTAAAAAGAGATGCTAGGGTTCCTTTCTTACATTAAAAAGAACTTGAAATAAATGACAGTATTCATGACTAATAAATAATGCATTTTATTATAAGTTTTATATTTTATATTGATTATTTTCTGCATGCTATCTCCAGAAAATAATAAAAGATAGGGAACAAGTTATTTCACAGGTTATTCTCTTTCAAGATCAAAATAAAGAAAAATTTGGGAAAAGAATATAATGCAGCATTGTTATGATACAACAATGGGATATCTTATTTTCCTGGCAACATAAATTGCAGGAAGCAGAAAATATACAATGTGATGAGGAGGTGTGGTTGCTTACTATCTTCAACTATGTCTATATTACTACCTATGTATCAGGAACCACCTGACAGATTTGCTGGAGAGTTCTTGAAATTGCAGAGAGGTTCAAATTTTGTGTTTTCTCCTTGTACTATCACAAAAGAATGCTTCTCAACAATCTGTGTTTTGGCCATACCAGAAGCTCAAACAATTCTTTGAAGATTATAAGCCACCATACTCTCCAGAGCTAAACGATAGGCGCTCTGAGGAAGGCACTGGATGCTTTGAATTGCAATATCAGCCTTTTCTTTTGCCAGCTCTTGAGCTCTTTCGATGCCGCCAGAGCTCTTGACCAAGGCGATGGCCTCCTCGAAGGAACCGGTCTCGCTGAATTCAGACTCAATGATATCCCTCAGTTTCTGTTCTTTCTCTAAAGCGAAGATTACTGGTGCGGTGAGGATGCCTTTGGCTAGGTCACTGGCTGCAGGCTTTCCCAGTTGCTCTGCAGTTTGCGTGAAATCCAATATATCATCCACAATTTGGAAGGAAAGGCCAAGATTTCTACCATATTCATACATTTTCTCAGTGATGCTGCTATCAGCACCACTAAAAATTGCAGCGCCTTTCGTGCTTGCGGCAATCAAGGATGCTGTTTTGTAGTAGCTCTTGATAAGATACTCATCTAGTTGTAGATCACAATCAAACAAGCTAGATGCTTGCTTTATTTCACCACTGGCAAAATCTTTGATCACCTGTTAAGACAAATAGCAGAGTTATGATGATTTTAGAAGGCATCTTGAAGACATTTTCCATAGGTATGATGATGGAACTTACTTGGCTGATAAGTTTAATAACTTCAAGGTTTTCAAGATTAGCGAGATACCAGGAGGATTGAGCAAACATGAAGTCTCCAGCTAGCACTGCTACTCTTGTTCCATACAGTTGATGAACAGTTTCCTTTCCTACAAATACACAACATCAGAGGGGTCAATGTAGAAGAACTGGAAAAAGTTTACGAGATAAACTGATACACAACAAACAAAAACAAACTCTTCTCAGTGCTTTCAAGCCAATGAACCCATGCGACTGCATTCAGAGTCCAGTATTTCCAATTCAAAATGATTAAGGAAAATGCAGTTCACAAGCAAGCTTTACAAAAAGTTTATTTTCCCATCAACTTAGTGGAGCTTTCATTTACCAAAGCAGCAGTGAAGGAACCATTTAAAACTGATTAATGCAGGTCATCTACACCTTGCAAGGGCTTGAGGTATGCCTATTAATGATAAATTTAGAAAAGTCTTTGGAGTGCTTATGATATGTCCTCATAACATTTAAAGTCTGGCTTTATACGTGTAAGAATATCTCCACAAACAGGCATATGTGGGGTCCCTTGAAGGACACCAAATACATATTGAAGAACAAGTAAATCTAGATAGAAACATATCACCTGACAGATCTCAGTGCTATTCTATAGATTGATATTAACAACCAATTAGACTGCATAGATAAGTCTTTATAGCTTTATTGAAAGATGGCATTATCAAAAGCACACGCAGAAGCCCGTCTACACTCTGAGTGTCTAATGATAATTGATTTTCTAAAGATACACACGTAAGGTGCGATAATAAATTTCCTTTCTAGAGGGGGTGCAAAGACTCGAGCAGAGATTAGCTCATCAGACAAAAGACATTTTATCTGAGATGGAATTGAGTTTTATTCACCACCAAAACTTGACAAACACAACAGGAGCTTCTAGTGTCACACTTTCTATCCCTATCAGTATCACACTTTGGTTCAATTTTTTAAATTATTTTACCTTATGCATATCTATCTCTATCTTTGGGGTAGGTTTCAAATGCAGACAAGATCTGATGATATGGCGGGCAAATATAATTCATTTAGACTTGTAATGCTGGGGGACAGATTAAAGAATTTTCCTAAAACAAGGGCCTGACACCAAATCTAATCGCTCCGGTGCAGAATTTAAGATTTTAAAGAAACTACTGATAAATAGACTTTAACATGAGTGCCTCGGGTTAGCAACCATAGTGATCTCAACAATATGACTAAAACTCCTTCATAGTACTTAGAATAGTGGTATAAGTGAAAATTACATTCTTGCTCATAAAGAGGGGTCACAGGCTTACCTCTTCGCAGGCTGCTCTCATCTAATACATCATCATGTATCAAACTAGCAGTATGAATCATTTCAATTATTTCTGCTAAACGCCGATGCTTCGTGGTAAGTTCCCTGCGACCATGTTCAAATAAATGTTGCTACATTTATCATCATACATTGCAAATAACTATGAGCATAAGCACTAAGAGATGCAGAACATTCTACACTTACTTCATTCCAACTAGTTCTGCTGTGGCTCTTGAAACTAAGAAAACCAAAGCTGGTCTCATCCTCTTCCCACCGGCACTAAAGATTTGTTCAGCCGCAGACATTAAAACAGGATTTTCTGCACCCACAATCTACCAGACAAAGCAGCTTCTTTATAAGAAGAAGAAGAAGGAGCACAACGTTCATCAAATAGAAAGAACCCATAAACTAGCAGGCACTGCATCATTGAGAATGATCAAGTCTTGGCAACGTTTGACAGGATCATCCACCTTATAAACTAGGAACTAACAATACAGTAACATAATCTCGTCAGTAACAACAGTAGCTTTACTCACCGACTTAAGGTTTTTGTTGAGAGTTAGTAGGTCATCACCGACCACTTCAAACAATTTGGCAGGAGAAATGGGGCTTTCTGGGTCATTCTTCAAGTCCAGTCCTGTTGAAAGGCCTTGACTATATTTAGTTCTCCCTATGCAAACAAAAATTTCCAATGTTCAGTCTCGTAGCTACTCCCAATATCTGTGCTCATTGAAGACATCAATATGAAACAAGTTTATTGATAAATCTTATACCATTTACTGCGGGCTCAGGCTCCACAGTCTTCATCGAAGAAACACGACATTGAGTGGTTACCCGCCGCCAGCAGGCCGATTTACGAGCTCCGCAGCCTCCAGTCCATACTCTAGATTTCACCTTCGCGTAATTTCTCACAGAACACCGCTCGAATGAAGCATTGGAAGAGCAGCCACAAGCAAGCCAGATTTTGGCAGTAAAATCCAAGCTTTGGATCGTTACTGACATCATTCGGAAGTCGGACCCAGAAACCAAAACGAGCGAGTTTCACTTTCAAATCAAGAACCCAGATGGAAAAAGGCAAAATTTACCGTTAAACTGACCAGCAGAAAGCGGCCACTAAAAGGAGGAGGAAGAAGAAGAGCAGTGTCTTCAGACTTCAGAGTTTGTGAAGGAAAACAAAAAAACGACGGAGGCCGAAAGGCTAGTTCGTTTTGAAGGTAGTTCCTGTATAGAGAAATCACACGTGTGTCAGAATCTAAAGTCCGAGCGAAATTGAGTGGATCCAGATAACCCACATAGACAAGGATGATCTGCGCTTCTTATCAGTTAGAGAGAGAAATTCAAGGCTCTAGCTTCTTAGCCGATTACGAGTCTCGCGAGAGGCTGGAAGGCTGCACATGAGATATAAATATAAAATAGCTTTTTATCGGCGGATCAATTGCTGTACATTCACGGCTTAGCACAAGCCCATACAATGTGAGTTCGGTGTTCAAATTAGAGCCATGAAAAGCTCTTTGTCGTACACTCGTAATCATTAAAATTATTATTATTATTATTATGAACGTAGGATTTATTTATGCATGGATGATCGCCATGTGAGAAATCAAATACCAACTTTAACACGAAATACATTAATTCAGGGAAAGTGGGATAAATTATTCGCTGAGAAATTAATTGATAAATAGTTGATCAGTTTTGTGTCCAGCTTTACTTCTTTTATATTCAATACAATTTCATCTTCTTGTATCATAATTCATATATTATGTATTTGAATTTTATTTATGTGCAATTCTTCTTTTCTTATGCAAATTAATTATAATATTTTGTATAAATCTTTTTTCTTTGTGCTATTTAATTTGTTTTATATGTAATTTATCTTCAGTTATGAAATCTATTATCCTAGGGATTATTGTTAATTAATTTTTCAACTAGATTTATTCGCAAATTTATCATAAAATGATGGTGCTTATTTGTCATGCGATGTCATGCGTAATCCACGGAAATCCGATCTCCTCATCGTCAGGGGACCTCGTGGCTCTTTCTTTCCCCTAAATATAAAATATCACGCATGGTTACCAAAATTATGCGGAGCTTATTTATGTTTGAATATTTTATTTCAGATTTTTTCTTAATTAAATAGGAGTTTTTTAAAAAAATTATTTATTAAAGGTTGGGAAAAATCATTAGATAACGATATTTTAAAAAAAATACTAATATCATAAAATTCTGAGATGTGTATTATTCAAAGGAATAAAACCTAAAAAAATTATGTATTGCATTTAGAAACAGGCAGAGCGTAAGATTTAAAAAAATATCCTGACTCTGTAACTCATACCAATAAAAGTTTTGAAAATTTTATGTTAACAAATATTTTCATCTTTCTATCTTTGTCATTAATTAATACTTATTATTTTCTCAACTTCACTTAAAGAGGGGTCAAGTTTTTTATCCCCTGATTAGATGTATTTTTGGGGGGAAAAAAATTTCTTATAAAAGTTTGTAAATTAGTTTTATATATAAAAACATGACAATGGTTTGCAATAAGGGGAAATAATATGATTATCTATGAGGTCAGTTTTTATTTTTACTTTTAAATAAACTACATGCAACTATCTTTTGTTGCGATAAAAAAAGGTATATTTATTTTAAAATATATATTTACAATATATATTTTGCTATATCAACATAAATTATATTGATAACAAGCTTCATTATTCACAGGCTAATCCTTTTTTTTTTTGCGTAAAGATGAAAAAGTTGATTATTTTTATGCTCATTTTGAATGAAAAATTAGAAATCTTAGATATTTTTGTTATCTCTGTTTCACAAAACAAGGATGCCTTACAAGGAATATACTTACGACTTATGGGAGAAATAAGACAATGATGGCTCAACATATCATTTTCAAGAAAACATCAAGAAAATGACTAAAATAGGGGAAGAGACAATGCCACTTAGTTATATACTTATAAGGCAGTCTCGAGACTCGAGTCATAACTCTTTTCTCAAAAATACCAGTGTTTCAGTTTGTATACTTATATTATAACTATTATAAAATATCATTAAATATAAAATTATAGGGAAAATTGGTAAAAAAAATATCTATTTAAAAATTTAATTGATTACAAAGACTTAAATTTGAGAACATACAAATATAATCTGTGAGTGTAATATATTTTCTGTTGCGTACAAATAACTTCTGTATTAATAATTGTTGCACATTACTAATAATATGATGTGCACAGTAAAAAATATATTACACTCACTCAAATTTAAGTCTTTTTAACCCAATTAAAATTTCAAATCAGAAAATTTTTATCAATTTTCTCAAAATTATAATTAAACTATTTTACCATTTTTACTGATACAACTAAACACTAACCACAAAATGATTATATGACTCATAATTAAATAAATTAGTACTTTGAAAAATACTGCCAAGATTGTTAATTATATTTAATAATTATTTTCCATATCAAACAAAAAAAATAATTTCTTCAAAACATTATTAATTTAATTTATGCACATGTCCTTCTATTTAGTTATCTTTTTTTTTCTTCTCCGTTCTTAATTTCTTGGCCGCTTTTTCTTGTGATAGCCTATTTTTCTTATGTCCCCCCCCCCCAAAAAAAAAGGAAGAAGAAGAAAACTTTGTCAATTATTTTATTGCTGCGTCATAAATCTTAAATATATTAAAAGAAAACTAGCCCTTGCTAAGGCTATGGGAGGGAGCAATCTCCTCGATAAGGTTGCCCCCACTAAGACTTTGATTGCATGCCTACCCAGCTGACAAAGTCTTTGATTGAATGCCCGCCCAGCTGCCCCGTATAGGTAGATGTGGGGTGATTACGTTAAATGTCACCTAATTTATCGTTTAATTTCTGATACATCTCTTTTTTTTTTTTTAACTACTTCATCCAGTATCCTGGGCAGCCTCTAATATGAGGATTCCACAAGTTCAAACTAATCCAGATTAGATCATTGCAGGAGTTCAAAGGCGGCTAACCTCTACCAAGGGTGTGTTTGAATGAAACCAAACCGTGGTTTGAAAAAGTGATTCTGGAGAATAGATTCTGAAAAGAATAGATTTTATGAAAAAGTGATTTTGAGAAGTGAGAGTGTTTGAATAGTTGTTATCAGAAGCATTTTTTATATATACAAATTACTAAAAAAAAGACATAAGTTAATATGATAATTACAGAAAAAATATATTTCATGATATATTTTAATTTGAAAGAATAAAATTGTTAATAATATATTTTTTTATTAACATAATTAATAATACATAAGATAATATAAGTAATAAATAATTAATTTGTATATATATTTATAAAATATAAGATTAAATATATTTATAAAAAAATATGTTTATAAAAAAATAACAAGATACATATCCTATAGGCTCTCACACTCTCCCTTTTTTCTCCAAAAGCAAAAAAATTTTGCTTTTTCCAAAACCATGGTTTTGGTTTTTGGGTGGGTGTTTGGGTGATTTATTCCTCAAACCATGGTTTGGGGTGTCACCCAAATACAGCCTAAGTATTTAACGCTGCTGTATTTCTATGGTTCGAACTCCACTTCTCTTGGTTAAGCTAAAACAACCCCTTACTAATTGATCTAAAAAATATAATATATTTTTCTTAAAATATCATAATTATTGTTTTTAATATCTTTCCTTTCTTTTCTACTTGATTGTGGTTGATGAAATATCAATAGGTATAATTTAAAAAATAATAAATATGATAAATATGTCTTCTATTTAAGATTAATATCAACTCAATAAGATGAGAAGTATTTTCTCAACTTCACCCAAAGAGGGGTCAATTTTTTTTTTATTTACTAATTAGAGATGTTTTAAGGAAAAAAATTTTCTTCTACAAGTTTGTAAACTATTTTTATATATTAAAACATGATGCATTCCAAAATTTTGTCTTATAGTTTGAAATAAGCGGAGGTAATATGATGAAAAAAAACACTAAAATATTGTAAGAAATGCTACGAAATAAACTAGAGGAGGTAAATTTTAAAATGTCAAATCAGACTTTTTATATTATTTTAAAATTTTAAAATATTATGAAATGACAACATGGTTCTTACTCTAAGTGATTATTTTTATATAACTATTGACTATTTTTGTTTTTAAAAGTTCGATAACTACTTTTATATGGTTATTGACTATATAAGAGCAGTAAATAACTAAATAAAAAATAATCACTAAATCTCTAACAACACTTATTGTATTTTTTTGAATTTTTGAAACAAAAATAGTTAATAGCAAAACTAAAATAGTCAATAGCTAAACAAAAATAGTCACCAAATTTTTAAAATTGAAAGTAGTCAATAGCAATATTTAGTAGCTAAACAAGAGCAGTCATTGAAATTCTAAAAACAAATATAGTTAAATAACTAAAAAAAGCTATCAATACATTTTTAAAAAAAAAGTTACTAGAGCTCCAATGACTGAAAATCGGTTAAGGGCGTTGAGGTGACAATATTTTTTAAAAAAATAATAAAGGATATTTATGTAATTTTATAAGATTTGAAATTTTCAAAATTGTATAAGGAGTCTGAATTGATATTTTGAAATTCACCTATATTGATTTTTTTTATAGCAATTTTTAAGGTATTTTTATTGTCTTTTTTTCTAATATGATTGTGTATGAGGTTTTTTTTTTAATTTTAAATACACTATATGCAACTATCTTTTGTTGCGTTAAAAATTTATATTTAAGTTAAAATATATATTTACAATATATATTTTGCTGTATCAATATAAATTATATTGATAACAAGCTTAATTATTCACATGCTAATCTTTTTTTTTTGCTGAAAGATTAAAAAGTTGATTATTTGTATGCTCATTTTGAATGAAAAAGCAGACATCTTAAATAGATTTTGTTGTCTGTACTTTCAAGAAAATGACTAAAATAGAGGAAGAGAAGTGCCACTTAATTGTATATTTATAAGGCAGTCTCATCTCATAACTCTTCTCTCAAAAATACTGTATTGTTTCAGTTTGTATATTTACATTTGTGACTATTATAAAAGATTATTAAATATAAAACCATAAGTAAACTATTTTACCATTTTTACTGCGACAACTAAATACTAAACAAACAATGATTACATCGATTTAATGACTAATAATTAAATAAATTAGTATTTTGGAAAATACCCCCAAAATTACTATTTATATTTAATAATTATTTTTCATATAAAAATAATGTTTTCAAGAAATTATTAATTTAATTTAGGAAAAATTAGTAAAAAATTACTTTTTAAAAATTTAATTGATTAAAATGACCTGAATTTAAGCACATACAACTATAATTTTTTAATACAACTTTTCTTTTGCTATGCAAAACATCTTCCGTTGTGCCTAAAGAACTTCCATATTGATTATTATTTCACATCTTTGATGATATATTACACAACAACAACAAAAAGTTACATTCATAGATCATAGTTGTGTTTACTCAAATTTAGATCTTTTTAGTCAATTAAGTTTTCAAACAAGGAGTTTTAACTAAATTTTTCTTTAATTTATGCACATGTCCTTCTATTTATTTATATTCTTTATTCTTCTCCCTTCTTAATTTCTTAGCTGATTTTTCTTGTGATAACCTATTTCTCTTAGGTCCCACGCCTAATAAAGAAAATTAACATCATCAAAAAATCGTCAAATTATTCAAAACTTTGTCAATTATTGCCGCATCATAAATATGTTAAAAGAAAACTAGGACTGTAGGGGGCACGAATCTATCCAATGAGGTTGCCCCCACTAAGATTTTGATTGTATATCTACCCCATAGAGATAGATACGTGTGGGGCTAATGAGTACTGATCATTTTTATTAATGAGGATATCAGTCCACTAAAACTTCTCATTCAGAAATGACTGCGGAAAACAGTACTATTACTTTAAATGCCACCGAATTTATCGTTTAATTTCTGGTACATCTTTAATATATCTACACCACGTTTTTTTCGTGCACATTATATATGTGTGTATACCTTTTGCGCATCACATATATTTATTTTGACTTTTTAAATTCCTCTTTTACTCTTTAGATACTTAATATAAGACCTATTTAACTAATTTGATTATATTAAAAAAGTTAGGCATAAGTTAGTTAATTATAAGAAATGTGACATGTTTTTCCTAAAACACCATAATAATCTTTATTAATACCCCGTCTCCCCCTTCTACTTAATTATGGTTGAAGAAGTATCCATAGGAGTAATTTAGAGAAAACTAATAAATATGAGAAATAAGTCTTATATGTAAGATCAAAATTAACTCAATAATTAGATCTTATATTAAGGACCGGAGGAATAATTGATTTGACAATTTTGCAACGTTTTTTAGGAAATTACTGTCAGTTCCTAATAAAGAGATTTAAGCACTCAAAAATTATTAATAACTAAGAAACATTAGTGACTAGTTTTGGTACAAAAAATGATAACAGATTTATGCTGCTCACTTATCATTGAATTTTTTATGATTAAATTTCTTATCAGAGTCTCACAGCAATGCTCCCTATTTTATTTTACTTCTCCTCCAAATGTTCAAATGCTTTTTTCTAGCCTCTATCGTCACTAGGGAAAGAAAAAGGCCAAATGGCCTAAAGCATGCGGCATAGTTTAAGCATTTGGCCTGGCTTGTTTTAAAATAGAAAAGGCTCAAACTTTTTTTATGATCTGTTTAGCCTAATGGATTAGACCTAAGTTTTTGGGAAGCTTGTTAAACCTGTTAGCTTGACCTGTCCTGTTTATTTATCTTAATTTTAATTTTATACTTATATCTAGTTTTAATTCAAATTCTAATATATAATTATAACTTGTTTTCAATAATATTAACTGTAATTAAAATTTAAAATATTATTTATGACATTAAAATTTAAGTAAAAGATAATAATAAAAAATAAATTATGTAGTATGTATATTTTACTTTTTTATTAGTCTACATATTTTTTACAATGCATTTTGAAAATTTAAAATTACAGACTTTTTTAATAGACTCAAGCTGGGGAAAAAAAAAAGCCTCTAGCAAGCTACAAGCTAGGCTCAAGTTGACTTGTTAGTAAAGGCTTTACTTGTTAAGAACAAAGCATAGTTTGGCCTGGCCTATCTCCACTCGTACTAATCACACTTTACTCTATTATTTTTTTGGCAATAAGCTTGAATATCATCAATGACAATTACAATAGTTAAAGAAACTTTCTTCATTACGGACATCATCAAACTTTGAATGTGAAATTGTATGAGCATAATGACTCAGTGATTGTTTGCCCACCAGAAATGTCTGATTGTATTAAAAATGAGGAAATCATTCAACGTTTTCAAATGATGAAAACTCATACATAGTAATTATATATTCATGCTTTTAATAGTAATTTGTTATGATAGTATACGCGTGTGTTGCCTCTAATGATTAAAATTTCAATTAAAAAAAAAAAAAAAAGGATCGCCCCTGCAAGTTGGCTTTTTCTGGGTTTAATTCGTTTCATCATTCATTAACTGAAAATAAAACTAAAATTTGGTCAGCAAGATAATTAGGAAAGGGATTGCAAATTTGAGTAGAAACAGATACATGCCCAATAACCTACAGGTACATTGGCCACAGACTCCAGAATAAACCAAAACCTGCCGCAAAACCTTGCTTCTCCTCTCTAGTTTCTTATTTCTCATTGCTATGGATAGATGCAGTTCCCATAACCTGCAATCCAATAACAAACATTTAAAAGAAAAAAACAAAAAAACCAGAGAGAGTGAAAGAAAAAGGTCAGAATTTAATCTGCAAATCTCTTTGGAACAAATTTATACACTGAAAAAATACATGAAATTGCCAACTCTTCATCCCACAATAGAAGAAAACTTACTTGGATCAGTGACAACAATGAGACCAGAACCTCTGAACTCACAGTTCCAGTGGTTTTTTCCTTTTGACTGATAATAAAGATTCATAGCAACAGAAGCATGATTCATGAGATTGTCAGGAATGAAGCAAGGGCAGCCTCTCTGCAGAATTCTGCAATCCACTTGAGAGCAGGCATAGTTTATGTTTGCTAAAAGTGTGGCCTGGTCTGATGATGGCTTAGCCACACACCATGTTCTCTGTAAATGATTCATTCCATTTCTGATCTCAGCACTAACATCATCACAAGAATCACAAGACAATCAGGAGTTCAGTGTTTGATGTTTAGTTACCTGTCCATTAACCATGATCAGATCCCCCCTGCATGTGTGAGAAAAAAAAGGCAAAAAAATACAAATGATCAGCTTTAAGCTGTTTGTAATTGGAAAGAGATTGTCCAATGATAATTTTTCCTAAATTGTTTAGACTTGGAGAAAATTTTGATACGTCAATTAAGATAAATTATCGAGGGACTAGGGGAATAGAGACATGCAACATTAAGCTAATGTAACTCAAAAGCTACAGGAGTGGATCCTAGTTCATATATGAACCTTAAAAGGGGGAAAGTGAGGCATGAATTTCAATCTTGGGAAATGAATCCTTCAAATTCATGAAAACCCAGTTCGGATCTGAAAGCTAGGGGTCAGGGAACACTTATTAAACATGTCCTGATCAATGTGGATGATCGTTGTAAGCTCTACAGTAAAAAAAAAGGCTCTAGAAAGCTGTAGCACCGAGGATTTACATTATCGTACTGGAAGCAGAACAGGAATGAGAAACCCACTAGAGATTTCTGTATTACAAACAACCTGAGTGTGGCAAAAAATACAAACATTTCAAAAGAACCAAAGTCTAAACTGACATTCAACGACAAACGACCCCACATGAGAAGTTAAAAGAGGGTAAAAACCATCACTTGTAAAGTTTATTGAAGCATATGAATTGAAATATACCTGATGATAAGAGCAGAAGAAGAAGGAAAGCAGCCATGTTAGCCATTGTTATCCTTCCCGTACTAACGATGGTGCGCATACTGCCTGCAAATTCTATGAAGTTGATAAAAACCAGATTGAGAGAGGAAGAGGGTGGCTTTGAAACTTGTAGAGAGGAAAGGTGGGGCCTACTCTGAGATAAACAAGTGAAGTTTCAGCCCAAAAAGAAAAAAGACAAGTGGCTGCATGGTGGTGAGCATAACAACTGCATGAACAGCCAATCAAAGTTACAGAGTCGTTTTAGGGGGGACCAGCTGCGGGCTCCGGAGGTATATGTTTGCCCCGGTTTAAAAAATTCATAAAGTTGTTCACAGTCTTTAAACCATAACTCGAACTTCGATATGTGATAGTCTGTCGAATCAATTCCTCAAAACGCTGCTCTGAAAACAGTTTTTTTTTTTTTTCATGAGATATTTGATATTTCACTTCCATGGATATGCACATTCGCTTTTTTTTTTTCTGGATTTTTCTCTACTTTGTGATCCATTTTGGGCCAAAACAGAACAGAATTTCTCACCAGGAAAGCTTGTTCTCTGGTTTCGGTTCAATTTGCGGGCAGAGAACCTCAAGAAACAGAGCACCATATCAGATATCTGTAGATGAAGAAAATTTCCAACAGTAGTAAACTGGTTTAGTAACTCAAAGGCGTTAAATCTAAAGGTACTGTAAAGTCAAGGAATCAGTATTTGTTGTCCCATTTCCCACAAGGTATCCTTTTTGTAGAGATTTTATAATTGGTTAGGGAGAAAACAGTATCTACTTTGTTTCCAATATAATATATATGATGAACTTTATCTTCCTTTTAATGCAATGGCAACAACATGGTTGTTAATGCATGTTTCTTTTTCTTTTTCACTTACAAGATCTTATCTTTATACAATACTCTGCAGATTCTGTAGAAAGCACTCAAAAGAGCGCTCAGATGCTCTTGTTCTCTCAGGCAAAATGATACTTTATTCTGCAAATTCATTTTTCAGCTGCAGTATCGAACTGTAGTTGCCTTTGGTCATTTTTCGTCACATGCTTAATAGAAAGTCTTACAGAGAACAAAGTAAACCATGATGATGCCTCCAGCACATTGTGACTGAAAGAGCATGTGGATCCCCTCTATAAACAGAAGACAAAATGAAAAAAGACGGGAAAAGAAATGGGATCACACTAAAGAGAAATTATCACTCTTTAAAATTAGATGAAGATTATACGTAAAAAAATTTTATTGCTTTCTAAACTAAATTTACTATCAACCCAAATTGTATCCAAAATTTAGAATAGGTGGGAACAAATTACTATGTCAAAGAAAAATGTTTTCTACGTTTTGAAAACTTCATGCATTGTCTCTTCCTTCATCTCTTATTTTCTGCTCTTCAAAACACCAATGCACGGACAATCTTTCTTTTACACACTTTACAGTTTACCCCACTAATAAAGGAAATAATATGTTCGGCCAAAAGAGGGCTTGATTAAACAAAATAACACAGTTTATTAGGATTTTTTTTTTCTGGTTACATAAGAAAGATTTCAACTTTAATCTCTACTAATACCCTACCTTTTTCTTTCCATCTAAACTAGTATCAGATGCCAGTAGAAGAATTTTTTCACATCAATTAGTTCGACAGTTCAATGCTCCACAACATACAAAGATTACTTATTCTCCCTCCAGTTTAGTTCTTCAAAACACTCTTGAACAACATCAATGTGACCAGTGATCCCATGTTACACCTTCAATAACAATCTTGGACGTGTGACCCTGTTATGCTTAAAAGTTCAGCGCATTTATGACCCAATGTAACACTGCAAACCCGTACCTTTACTGATTTACAGCGTAATTCACACATTTCATCCTCAGTTGTCATATTGTTGTGCTTCTTGTTCTTGATAGCGACCAATTATATGATCCATATAGCTCAATGGGATTAAGCAGGAAGGTTATCCAATTTGACCTGAACCAAAGAGGCCGCAAAACCGGACATCTGTCTCCTTTGAACCAATGGAGTTCAGATTCAAATTACAAAATCCTAAGTAAACGATCATTAGAATAAGATACCTAAGACGCGTCAAGATCATAATTGTCTTTGCCACCCAAGTCTCAGACACATGCTAAAATAAAATAGAAAAATTTCCTTAACATGAACTAATATAAATTCTGAGGATGTGACAGGGAAAACTCAGATCTCTGTTGCAACAAGCCAAAACGTGAAAAATTTCAGAATAAGCCCATAATATTGAAGAGCCAGGATCCGTATAAATCCCTCATAAAATCTCAATGTGAGACTCGTGTTTCATACTCTTCCCCAAAAAAAACAAATGATTTGAATATTGATTTACACTTTTCTAACCAATTACACCATTTATAAGAGCTACATCCATTTTGTCCTACTCCTACCATATAAGCCATTTGCCATGCTCAATTGTCATCATGTCACTGTGAATCATTTCCAAGTCTAAAGTTCCTATAGTTACAGAACAAATTCTCACTTGAATTTTCAGAATATCCCTATCAGGAGGAAGCTTTATCAAGTTTGTGTGGGGTTTGTTTGCTCCAGGAAGGTGACAACCTCAGCCATGGTTGGCCTCTTGAGAGGATCTGGTTCAAGACACATCATTGCAACGTTGAACACATTGTCAACCTCTTGGATGGGACAGGATCCCAAGGTGTTGTCGAGAACTAGCTCCTTCTTCCGCTCTTGAACTACAGCCTTCACCTGCTCCAGTCATGACACAATAATTAGCTACCAGGTAAGTCTTCATCCTAACTGATATGATTATATTCAAGATCATGCTCTGCGTTCTAATGCAATTATCAAATTGTTCCAACTTAAATAAGTAAACTTTGTCTTTAAGTTCCCAGTAAGTAATTCATTCAAAGGTCTAGTTTCTTTTGGATTTTATCTTAAAATCAATTGGTGTCAGTTCTCCTTGAGACATCTGGCTAGACTAGATGATGCGTGATGAGACTGACTCTAATAATATACTCCTCTGGTCTTAATTTTGTAGTGTAAATTACACTACAAAATAGATTCAGAGGGACTATTTGATTTGACCTTAAAATTTATCAAGTAAATTTTTTTTTTCCCAAATATTTAAACCATAATTAAGTAGTTTAGACAGATGCATGGTACAAGACTAACAGAAGTGATGAAAAATTCTCAAATACGTATACCTGATCGTTTGAATCATGCAACTCTAATAATGAGTTAGTTATCAAAATCAAACTTGTCCAAATATATGAGAAATTCTGAAATGCATAGTTGCATATGCACCAACAATCTTTTCTGAATAATATAAATACAGAAGGGAATTACAAGAAAGTCCCTGTCTTACCCATGTGACAAGCTTGCTTCCTTCCTCTATGAATGCTTCATCATTGGGTCTTTTCCCAGTTAAAAGCTCCAATAACACAACTCCAAAGCTGTAGACATCCCCTTTTACAGTTGCTCTTCCCGTATCAAAGTATTCTGCATGACCCCATTCATCATTTTGTAATGTAACACATTAATCCGAATGAAAAGGAAAAAGAAATACAAATTTATTAACTTAAAAATATGACACAATGCCATTACATTAAATGAAACCAAATGGGGGTGTTTCTGGTGTTCTTGTGTTTGTGCTTGTATTACCAGGCGCTAAGTATCCAAAAGTTCCGGCCACAACGGTTGTAACATGAGTTTTGTTGGGTTCCATTAAGGTGGCCAACCCGAAATCAGAAACTCGAGCCTCCATGTTGTGATCCAGCAATATATTACTTGATTTGATATCTCTGTGGATAATGTGAGGGATACAATCATGGTGAAGATATGATATTCCCCTAGCAGCACCTAGGGCTATTCTGTACCTTGTTGGCCAATCCAAAAACAACTTGTTCTTTGATCGTCCTGCATCAGTCACATACTACTTACAATTAGATAACATAGGTTAAGAAAACTCTAAGCTGCCACAGTTTCTTTCCTCACAATATTAAATTCTGCACAATTTTACAAGGTAAGAATGAAAAAGGTAAGACAAGTGGAAGAACGGCAAAAACATTTTCACTAAAACCAAGAAAAGTCTTGAAAGTCATTAATTCTGTTTGAAAATTAACAAAGTTTCCAACTTTGCCTTTATCAGACCATCCTTTGAGAAGCTGAAGAGTCAAGTTTGGAAAACATAAACCAACATGGAAAAATGTACTCCTCTAGTCCTCAATATGGAACTACTTATTTGAATAGATTAAGAGAGTCAAATAAATTAGCTAATTATAACATATGTGGCATGATATGCCTAAAATACTCCTGTATAGCATTAGATTATATATTAATTTTGGTGAATTAGTTTGGATAAAAGCTAAGCGATGCATACCATGTAGAAAGGAATCTAAGCTTCCATTAGACATGAGCTCATATATGAGAAGGTTGTAATGAGGGGCAGTATAGTAACCATGAAGAGTCACAATATTGCGGTGTTTTATATCTGCCATTGCTTCCAGCTCTCTCTCAAAGCCTCTCTCTCTATCTGCAGTTCCTTTGCTGAGCCTTTTCACTGCAAAGGCTTTGGTGTCATCTATTTGCAGTTTATAAACTGTCCCATACCCACCAGATCCAATAATGTCCTCGTTGCTCAGTTTCAGTGTCTTCTTTAAAACCATATCAGACGTCATTGATTGAAGCACTGAACACCTAAATATCACCATCCTTCCACCTGTATCATCCCATTTAAATATGTTAATATATCTCCTTTGTTTCTCTCTGAAATAACAGAAAGTTTAGGTAGATCTTTTTAAGCCTGTCAAGCAAAAATTTTCATGGAGAATCCACGGTAATAGTCATGCCTACTTTTCCTGCTATACCTGGATAAGCTTCTTCATAAATCATGTGCTTTCTTTTCCATCTTCTGTAGAGGAGAACTGAGATGATGATTTTGGAAATGACAAAAGAGATGCAGCATATGGTGATGTAAAAGCCTAAAACCAGAGACTTGCTCATTTGGATCAACAAAGTGATGCTGATACACTTTAAGAACCTGATAACAGAGTCCAAGATTAGAATTAAGGTAAAGCAAGATAGCTATTTTAAACAGAGGATTACCCAACTTCTCTTTTAGAGAAACTGAAGTTTAGATAGATGTTGATGCATGCAATGAGTAAAGGGGTATTTTTCATTATTGAAAATGAGGCCATGCAGAGAAAGAGAAAGAAAGCTCACAATGATTTCTCTGCATAGAAAGGAATGGCTTCAAATCCTCTTCATCTCTAGAAATTGATTCAGTATGACTGTCGGAACTTTCCTTTCTGCTCATTCCATGAGCTGATAAATTACTACCTCATGGAAGCTTCAATGTTTGATCATTTCACCTCAGACTGAGCAAGTAAACACTTGAATTTATGATTAAGAAGAAAGAACGCAGAAAGTGGTAATGAGAAGAGAAAGTGAACAGATTGTTCAAGTAAATTGGAGAAGACAATATGTTTGACCGTGAATAGTTTGACATGAAGACGAGCTTAACTTAACGTCTATCCACCACGGAGCTCAATGTGTGTGTTCACATTAACTTTTGCAGACCTAAAGGATGTGACATGTTACCTGAGGCATGTTTTATTTTGGGGGAAATCATAAAAAGTTTAAGACTTTGAAAATTTTGAGCAACGAAGAATTGAGTGTAATATGAAATTAAGGGAAAAAAAACACTAACTATTAAATTATAAAAAATCAAAATTTCTAACTCATTGTGAGCTGGGTAATGGATTACAGTATTACACGTATCAGCAGCGCTCAGAGGATCACCGACAAGACCATTCATTATGTTTCAACGATTAGGAAGATTCGTGTAGAATCATCAGATGGCTTAGAATTTCCATAGATAAGGAAGAAACAGAAAAAGAAGGTGAGACAGTGAGAAAAGGTGAGTCACCAATCTGGAAAAAAGGTTGTAGGAAATGGGAATGATCTTGTGAACAAATAGGCTGTCGCCATGGAATGTTGAACACCTGTGCTATTTCCACTAAATATGGAAGGTGAGAAAAGCTGTGAACCCCATGTGACACTGATTCATATTATTAATCATTGGATCACGTGACCTCGTAGTAGTTATTGGGAAGAAAAAAAAAGACAGGGAGAATTACAATGAACCCTAAAGAAAGAAAATAATTACTAAAAAATCCTAATGACAATCTAAATAATCCGTAATAACAAGTTCAAATAGAAATAATAATTTCTGAGACTTACTTTGTAATTTTTTTTTTTTTGGGACCTCATTGTAATTCTCTCAAAAAGATGTCACTGTCATTTATATTTACCAAAGTTGTTCACCGATGGAGTAACTGTAATAATTGTAATAATTCCTTGTAATTAGAGTAGGTTCTCTGTATTTATATGGATCATGGAACCAGATTTTACATCTGGTTGGATGCACAATAATATTGAAATTAATAAAATTTAATTAATTCGGGTTAATGTGAGTGACGGTCAAAGCATAAATAATTATATATTTTTCTTACTCTCTTGTGCATATTTTTAGTGTTTAGAAGATAAAAATAAACAACTTTTTTCATTTTACAATTCGTTGTCCCAAATACTCAATATAATTTATTTTATTTCACAAACCACAGCACCTTGTATTATGCTGGCATAAATTACTGTAGAATTTCTTACCTCGTGCACATTAAAATTATTACAAAAAATAATTTATTATTTTGGGATGTGTCATCCTATCCATTCCTACGTGTAAATTAAATTTATACTTTCATTATAGATCTTATACTAGTACTTGATGATGTTAATATTCCTGTTAAATTGTTTGACCATGCAGAATTACATATACAGATTTATTCTCCAACATTGGCAACTCTTCAACAGAGATGCCGATGAAGATGTCAAGTGTACAGGGTGTTTGGATGGAATCAAAACCATAATTTTAAAAATGCTTTTACAATGTACGAAGTAAATATGTGAAGAGTTTGCCTCGTTTTGCGGAAAAGTGTTTCTAAAAAGTACTTTTGGTGCGTCCAAGCACTCTCATAATTCATGTTTATAATGCGTATTGATTCCTTACATCGTAAAATCAAAAAATTATCTATAAATAGAATCACATTAAATTCGTGTCATCTTATCCTTTTAGCCATGATTACTAATGTAAGAATCACTCAGATTTTCTTCAACTGCAAAGCTTGTGGAATTATCGAATTAGGAAAACAAAATTAGATATAGTCGTAAGTCTCATTTAACGTTTGTAATGAACCCTGGTACCGATATAAAAATTTAATATGGCAGCAGAACATTCTAATTAGATGTACTAAAGCATAGTCAATTCAAGTCAAAATTCATTCAAATCACTAGATAAAGCATAGTTGTTTTCAATAGGATGATACTTACGAGCAATGTAAAAAATAAAAGTAACATAAAAACATATTGACAAGAAGTGAAATAATTTTTTTAAAAAAAATCCAGGAACAAGAACTCACATATATTCAAATTCTTAAATAAACATTAAAAAACGATTGAATTACATGAAAGTTTTCTTCAAATTTTATCTCTATTGAGAACTGAAGTTATTAGATCTAAACTGACTGAACTTCTTGCTGTTTCAGCTTATTTTGATCAAGATAATTCTGGTAGATATAAGAAGCAAAACTCAAAATTGCCAGCAACAAAGCCACAACCTTGACTGCTTCCATATTTTCATGGTACAAAACCACAGCAGCCAAAGGAACAAGAGGCAAACTCATCATACTAACAATGTTGGAGAAAAGAGAAGACACAACATAGATTAGTCCCACAACTCCAACAGAACAAACCTGCCAACACAAAGCTGTCCCAACCAATGTCAAAACATAACCTGCTTTTCCTCTTTCAAACCCTTCTATTTCTTCCCTCAATCCCTTCACTTCCCCACCTGCAAACAAACCCACTAAGCACACAATTGAAGCAACAAGACATGTCCAAATCTGTATCTCTAACACAACCCAGAATGTTTCCCTCTTCAACAACTTTTCAATTGTTAGTTGCATAAGAGAGAGCCAAAGTGCATACCCTGCTGATGCACCTATAGTACATATAAACCCAATAATGAACTCTCTACTGGAAAATTTTCTGGTCTTTTCATCAGAGTGAGCTGCAATGAGTGAAGCTGATACTGTGAGGAGGATCACAGAGTTTAAGATCAAAAGGGTGATCTTCTGGGAATTAATGAAGAATGAAAAGACGGCATTGAAACCTAACTGGGAAGCACAAATGAGGGAGTACGTAGAAACAGGAAGATATAAGAGTCCATATGAGTACATAAGACTGTCCCCTGCTAGTAAGATGCCTAGGAAGAAGTAGGCTATGGTGAGAGTTTGGAAAGAAGATTGAATGGGAAGGTTTTGGGGGCGTGGGAAAAAGAAGTAAGGGAGAAAGAGGACAGGGAAAGCTACAGATTGGACTAGTGTTGCCATCCATAGACTTTTTCCACCTTGGTCAAAGTAGAATTTTCCCAGAATGACTGCACCAGATTGGCCTATTAAGAGCAAGGCAATGTTGATTGCCACCATAAACCACCATTTCCAGCGATGAACTATGGCTGAAATACTTGCTGTACTTGGTCCTTGGCCATTATCTGTAATAAATTTTTACGTATAGTTTGTCACATTTAGTTGCTTAAAGTTAAAAAATGATCATTAGAAACTCTACCCTATGTTTGGATGGGGAAAATTCACTATTGTTAGGAGTTTTCCTTCCCAGTATTCCTTCCTGCTATTTTCCTTCTTTTTTTCTTCCATCCAAACATAGCCTAAAGCTTTCACACGAAAGGACAAGCTGTTATTCATCTTCGCTTATGAAGCTGATCATAGGTTAAAAAGGACCCAGATTGTTAAAACCAGACAAAACCTTGAGTCTTGCTTCCAAAATACTGGATTCGCATCAAACTTGAACTCAAAAAAGCACAAATAATAACCAAAAATGGAAAATTGAAGGAGCTGGAATTTTAAACTCAACGATATCTTGATTTTGAAAAGTGCTTATTCTGCTATATGCACGTGCATGAGTTGAAGTGTGTGATACAGAGGAAGAAAGAGACCTGAAACTGAATGGTGGCTTGGGGATGCTTCAATTTCCTCACCCGCCATTTCTAGATTCCGAGTCTTTTGAGCTTTCGCTTGAAGATGAAAACAAGCTTCCCTACTTTTAACCATGGCTCTGCTTGCATCGTGACAAATTATTTAGTCTTTTTCTTGTTGGTAGAGAAAATTGTTTATTCTTTAGTGGTGCATCGTAGTGCCGTTTAGTTCCACAATGGAATCATCTCTTTGGATCTTCCCCATGAGAGCGGCAGACTCAATGGACCTATTTTATTCATCTTTTTGGCCAATGACTTTTTTTTATTACTCAAATCAAATGCACACCAGCAAACATTATATCAAAATATTTTGCATAATGAATGGGATTGAGTCTAGTAGAAGAAATCAACGGTTTAAATTTTCACTGGGAGAAAACTCACAGTGTGTGACAGTACCTCAAATAAGACTATTTCCAGTAGATACAAAAAAAAAATATCTTGCACAGGATTGCAACCTTGAAAAAAAAGGTTGAATTTCCCAAAAAGCCATAGTTCAATAAAGTCCATAGATTGTGGTAATTATATGAGAACTCGCTATTACCAACTCACTTCACCTAATTATATATCGCAGATCAATCTGTAGACTTCAATATATTCCCATTTAGCTGCAGGTCTCTTGGGGTTGTTTTACTTTCTTGTTAGCCCAGGCACGGTAAATTGCCTCTTTGCATGCAGAGAGACAGTATAAATAATTAAATTATACAAATATGCAAGTATATGAAATATTGTTTTAACGAAACTCTGCTGATAGATTAATGATGGTTTAGAACAAAGACTTCCTATTTTTGTTCCAGAATTCTGTAGCACGTGGTAGAAGTACTAATAATTTTGTTTAAACACAAGAATCAGCGGGCAATGAATGGGCAGGAGGCACAAAGGATTCAAGAACATAATAACATAGAAGCAATGCTTCGAATGGTAATATATGAATGAATTTTGAATGGCAATATATGAATGAATCTGCTGTTTCACATGGTTTCTCGGAGGCTAATATGAAACGTTACTTTACATTTACATACATGTTGAAAGTAACACTATACATTGCAAGCAATAATAGCGTATCTTGATTCCAACACAGCCTTCATCTTCACCCTTTTCAGTCAAGCAAGGAAAGACGACCAGTTAGCAACTTGAACTTCCATTTGAAGGATTTTCTGCTCCAAATCCAGTGATCTTAGTGACTTCTTATTATCCTGAACAGTTGCCAATGTTTTGCATGCGGTTAATACTGAGCAATGTAAGCCTTAAATCTTTAAGCAACATTAAGAAAGACAAAACTTCGAGTTCTATGAATGCTTACTATCAAGTTCTTCAATAAAATCATAAGAAGGAACTGTTTAAAATAGTCAATCATGTGGTGCTGAGTTATAAGAAGATATCCACGTCATGTTTTCACTGAAGAATCTAATAACAAATATATAAACTCTTTTATATAGCTCAGGTTTTCATAGGAAAGCATGTTGCATCTTACCTTCCTAATCTACGTAGCTCAGGTTCTGCCAAGAGCATATCTTGCAGTGGTGTCAAGCCAGTTCTGTCGTCTCCAGAGCTGTAAGAACAAATGGGGTCAGATGAGTTCATACTTCATATTAGCTCCACATATGGTTGAGCAGATACTAAGCCACAGGTAGGCATGATGCAACGAATTCAACTCAAAAGAGGAGAGAAAGCTCACCCATAAATATGATCAATCGAAAGTAGCCTATGGTGAAGTTTGTAGTCTTTTCCAACATATGTCACAATTAAACTACCAGCATCCGGATGGGGCCAACTTCTTGAGGTGGGAAATCGAAGTATAAATGTCCCAGGTTCCTGAAGCCCCCTCGGTCCTTGAAGGGAAGCTTCTGCTTCTTCCTTAGTTATGAATCCTTCAATCCACTTGGGTGATGTGGATTTCCAGAGTGGGAGTATCCAATCCCTTGAAATTGTAAAAGCCACTGGGTATAACCAGCACCACATCTTCTCAAAGTTCTCTTGGGCTAGATGCTCCTGACATCCAGAAATTCTTCTCAGAACCTCTAGGTCCTAAAAAGCTCATAATATATAAATATTAGTGTCTCTATGGCATTGATAACAAAAATAGAATATCTTGAAAATATGCAATTATTTTCTTTTGTATTTTTTATTTCATGCCCAAAAATTTCAATATGAGATTCTTTTCTTTGTTGTAACCTATACAGAACATGACAATAACATTCGCAATTAGATTAGTAGTCTTCATGCCTATTTTGATGACTTGCTTGTGAGAAGTCTGCACATTATTTGTATAGCTAGCATCTCCTTTTGAGCGAGTAAACTCTCATTTTCATCATGAGATTTAAAGATGAAGTTCAGCATATGTAAAACGTCACATTACTAGTCTTATTTAAGAAAGAGGATAAAAAAGAAAAGAAAAGCGTGACTCAATAGCTGTACTACGGTGCCTCAATTACAGAATATTTAAAAAGGTAGTCACCTGGAGTGTGAGAGCTCTTGAACTGCAGCGAGCAATCTTCATGAAGTGCTCTTCAATCTCATAAACTGCACTGTCCCACCGTATATTGTAGTTGTTTTGGGACAATGTCTTCCATACCAGAGTTCCTTGCTCTATTAATCCCTTGGAAAATGATATTTGGGTTCTGATTTCCAAACACAGAACAAGGTTACAGAAGATATAGTCTGGGTGATTGAAGTAAACACATGGTTGCCTATAATGAGAAGTTCTGAGGAAATTCCTTACTATGCTTTATTTTATCAAGGATAGAAGAATGCAAGAAGGATATTATTTCCAAGCAGGGACCATCGAATCTTAGTATGGCGAAGCATCAGGAATTGATAGTAAGTTCAAAGTCCAGTAGCAAAATAGAGTAATAATATGCACTAATGACACACTCTGGAGAATGATTATTAATGTTTCACTTGAGACTAGAAAGACCAAACAGTTTGACCTTGTAATCGATCAAGATAGACAAGTTTAAGAATAAATAACAAACATCCCAGGTTCTCACTAGTCAGCACAACCCTTCTAGTTACAAGCATTTATAAAGCTGATTTAACATCCCTAATAGAATATTAAAACAATTGAATTACTACTAAAATTCCAACAAGAGGGCAGTCAAAATATAAATCATTTATAAACAAAGCAAGCAAAAGTGCCTACCCATAATGTGAACATCCTGAATAGCGTGACACCTGGGATGCAAATTCCAAAATTTCTTTGTCAGAGGCAGAGGAAGCTATTTCCTTGAGCATAAGAGACCTCTCAGTTAAGCCTGCCAGGCAGTATTTGAATATGGTCATGTCAGAGATTGGATTTCTTGCGATCTTGGACTGTGAATTTCCCTCCCCTATGCTCCCTGAATCAGATGGAGAGTTATCTGCTTCATCAAAGTTCTCAGGTCTACCTTCCAAGCTTGTTGCAAACCCATTCTCAATCTATGAAACAAGTTCACTGCGATATTAACAGCTACAATATACTGAATACCCGGAAAAAAAATGTACATGAATCCCATTTGCAGTTGTATTGTTATTACTTCCTTTTATTTACACAAGTTTAAAAGAAAATAATAATTTGAAAATTTGAAAATACCCGATTTATGGTCCTGGCATGAGAATTGCATTCCTCATCAGGCTGCTCTGAGGCACCGTCAGCCTTCACTGATACAGATATTTTGTCATGCCCAAGTCTAAACCGCTTCATCGATGGACTACTGGCTTTTGCTTCATGAGCAGCAGCATTTTGAAGTTCCAATGAAGCATCAGGAGGAGTCGATCTTTTCCACACCAAAGTCGACAATCTTGTGTTGCGACTTCTGGAAATACATCGAATTGGACGAGAGGATGTCTCAAGAAAAGGATAACTTCCCAACTTCGGAAGACAAAACCGGATGAGGAACAGCCTATTATCACACTTGGATGAAAGCTGAAAAGGAGACAAAAGATGGCGTTAACAGCCAAGAGGAGGATGGAATCAAAATTCTTACACTTAAGTTATAAATCAGAAGAGAGAAAAAGAAATTCAACATAATACTCCAAAATGAGATCATGCGAAGTTGGATTCATGTTTTGTCATTGATGATAAACAGCAACCACATTACTCCGTCTATAATAAAACCCTTTATAACTTAGTTTCAGGTAGTGCGGAGTGAACCACTTCAATATTAAGGTAGACCATTGATAAGGAGACTGAAATGAGTAACTGCAACAGACTTCCACAAAATCAACCCCAAAATATTCACTTATTCAGCATGATTCTAAACTGCTAACAAATATTTGGTTTATCGAGAGGAAAGGTCTTAGCAGATATCACTTGTGAAATCAAAAGTTTACACATGCACCTTGAGGATTGTGCATCATTGCTTTGCAAATACCATCTGAAATACCATACGATTCACACATAAGACATCTTATAAAATAAGTAGAACAACCTTCTAGTCAATTTCAATATCAGCGAACAAGTATTTGTCGGGTATTGTGATTTTATCTCTTTAAAAAGTAAAAACTGTGAAATCCTTAACTTTATTTCACCATCATGATTTAAATTTAAAGATGTCACTTTTTCTGTGCATGTCAAGTATGCCAATTATGTTTCACGGACCAGGAAATATAAATATAAAGATGTGGATCTCAATTATGGTTATGTATATTTCACTGTTTTTTGAATTTAGGATTTGCCAGGATTGTCTATATGAGTCAAGTATAGCACTTATGCTCATTATATGCACGTCCAACTTTGATACGTCTCAAATGTAATCATCATAGACCAACAAATGTTCATTATAAACATTTATTCATCAAAAGAGTTAGCATATCTTTACCTGAGATATCTTGAGCTTAAATGAGGCACGTCCCTGCAAGAGTTTACTTGGTCTTTCATGAGCAGAATATTCGGTCCCATCAGAGCTAAGCAAAAGAGGTGCTTCAGCATCAGTTGTGTTCTCCACAGGTGCTCCAGTATCAGCATACAAAAGTGAAGCAAACACCTGATAACATTAGCAACACATAATGTAAAAAATGCACACACACTATATA